GTAGTAGTAATGATGATGGTAGTAGGGGTGATGGTAATGATAGCAAGTTTAATGATGGTGGTGGTAGTAGTAGTAGTAATGATGATGGTATAGTAGGGGTGATGGTAATGATAGCAGTTTAATGATGGTGGTGGTAGTAGTAGTAGTAATGATGATGGGTCAGTAGGGGTGGATGGTACTGATATCAGTTTAATGATAGTGATGGTTTGGTAGTAGTAGTAATGCATGATGGTTAGTAAGTAGGGGGTAGATGGTTACTTGATTATCAGTTTAATGATGGTGATGGTGGTAGTAGTAGTAATGATGATGGTTAGTATGGGGTGATGGTATAATGATATCAGTTTAATGGATGGGGTTGTCTTGGTAGTAGTTAGGTTAATGATGATGTATAGTCGGGTGGTGATGGTAATTGATATCAGTTTAATGATGGTGGTGGTAGTAGTTGAGTAGTAATGATGATGGTAGTAGGGGGTGAATTGGTAATGATATCAGTTTAATTTGATGGTGGTGGTGGTTAGTTTCGTAGTAGTAAGTACTGGATGATGCTGGTAGTAGGGGTGATGGTAATGGATATCAGTTTTATGTTGATTTGGTGGTAGTAGTAGTAGTTAATGGATGATGGTAGTAGGGGTGGTGATGGTAATGATAGTCAGTTTAATGATGGTGGTGGTAGTAGTAGTAGTAGTAATGATGATGGTAGTAGGGGTGATGGTAATGATATCAGTTAATGATGATGGTGGTAGTAGTAGTAATGATGATGGTAGTAGGGGTGATGGTAATGATACAGTTAATGATGGTGGTTGTAGTAGTAGTCATGATGATGGTAGTAGGGGTGATGGTAATGATACAGTTTAATGATGATGGAGTGGGTAGTATAGTAGTTTAATGAGTGTGGGTAGGGTATGGTATGATAGCGTTTAATGATGGTGTTGAGTAGCAGTAGAATGATGATGGTTAGTAGGGGTGATGGTAATGATATAGCAGTTTTTAAATGATGGTGGTAGTAGGGGGACTGGTAATGATACAGTTATAATGATGTGGTGGTCAGTATATAATGATGATTGGTAGAGGGTGATGTAATGATTATCAGTTAATGATTTGGTGGTGGTATAGTAGTAATGATGATGGTAGTAGGGGTGATGGTAATGATAGCAGTTTAATGATGGTGGTAGTAGTAGTAATGATGATGGTAGTTGTAGTACTGATGTAATGGTGAGGATGACAGTTACAGTGAGGGAAAAAAGTATTTGATCCGCTGCTGATTTTGTACGTTTGCCCACTGACAAAGAAATGATCAGTCTATAATTTTAATGGTAGGTTATTTGAACCAGTGAGAGACAGAATAACAACAAAAAAATCCAGAAAAACGCATGTCAAAATTTTATAAATTGATTTGCATTTTAATGAGGGAAATAAGTATTTGACCCCCTCTCAATCAGAAAGATTTCTGGCTCCCAGGTGTCTTTTATACAGGTAACGAGCTGAGATAAGGAGCACACTCTTAAAGGGAGTGCTCCTAATCTCAGCTTGTTACCTGTATAAAAGCCTCAAACAGTCACACTCCAAACTCCACTATGGCCAAGACCAAAGAGCTGTCAAAGGACACCAGAAACAAAATTGTAGACCTGCACCAGGCTGGGAAGACTGAATCTGCAATAGGTAAGCAGCTTGGTTTGAAGAAATCAACTGTGGGAGCAATTATTAGGAAATGGAAGACATACAAGACCACTGATAATCTCCCTCGATCTGGGGCTCCACGCAAGATCTCACTTATTTTCCACCATAATTTGCAAATAAATTCATAAAAAATCCTACAATGTGATTTTCTGGATTTTTTTTCCTCATTTTGTCTGTCAAAGTTGACGTGTACCTATGATGAAAATTACAGGCCTCTCATCTTTTTAAGTGGGAGAACTTGCACAATTGGTGGCTGACTAAATACATTTTTTCCCCCACTGTACACTGAGTGTACAAATCATTAAGAACACCTGCTCTTTCCATGACATAGACTGACCAGGTGAATCCAGGTGAAAGCTATGATCCCTTATTGATGGAACCTGTTAAATCCACTTCAATCAGTGTAGATGAAGGGGAGGAGACGGGTTAAATAAGGATTTTTAAGCCTTGAGACATGGATTGTGTATCTGTGCCATTCAGAGGGTGAATGAGCAAGACAAAATATTTAAGTGCCTTTGAACGGGGTATGGTAGTAGGTGCCAGGCGCACCGGTTTGTGTCAAGAACTGCAACGCTGCTGGGTTTTTCCCGCTCAACAGTTTCCCGTGTGTATCATAAATGGTCCACCACCCGAAGGACATCCAGCCAACTTGACACAACTGTGGGAAGCATTGGAGTCAACATGGGCCAGCATCCCTGTGGAACGCTTTCGACACCTTGTAGAGTCCATGCCCCGACGAATTGAGGCTGTTCTGAGGGCAAAAACAGAAATACACAGATTACTCTGCGCTCCATCGGCATGTTTAATGGAAGGACAGTGGTTTAATAGGTTTATATGGAATAATCAGAAACGTTTATTAAACAATCCCTTCAAAACAGCACTCAGTTGTCATGGTTTTAGCAGAGCTGGAGTCTCCTTGCCCCCCACAGCAGCAAAATCAAACGCTCTGCACCTTGTGACGTTTTATTGATAACGACCTATAAAGGCCTCTTATATATTCAAAAGTTTAGTAAAAACAGAAACACAGATTCTATTGAGCTCCATCTGCATGTGTTTAATGTGAGGAAGGACAGTGGTTTAATACCAGACAGCTAATGGTGAAGGTCTTGTTCTGAAAGTAAAGGGCCCTGGTCTAAAGTAGTGCACTATATAGGGAATAGGGTGTCATAGGGCTCTGGTCTAAAGTAGTGCACTATATAGGGAATAGGGTGTCATAGGGCTCTGGTCTAAAGTAGTGCACTATATAGGGAATAGGGGGCCATAGGGCTCTGGTCTAAAGTAGTGCACTATATAGGGAATAGGGTGTCATAGGGCTCTGGTCTAAAGTAGTGCACTATATAGGGAATAGGGTGCCATAGGGCTCTGGTCTAAAGTAGTGCACTATATAGGAAATAGGGTGTCATAGGGCTCTGGTCTAAAGTAGTGCACTATATAGGGAATAGGGTGCCATAGGGCTCTGGTCTAAAGTAGTGCACTATATAGGGAATAGGGTGCCATAGGGCTCTGGTCTAAAGTAGTGCACTATATAGGGAATAGGGTGCCATTTGGCTATGGGCTCTGGTCTAAAGTAGTGCACTAGATAGGGAATAGGGTGCCATTTGGCTATGGGCTCTGGTCTAAAGTAGTGCACTAGATAGGGAATAGGGTGCCATTTGGCTATGGGCTCTGGTCTAAAGTAGTGCACTAGATAGGGAATAGGGTGCCATTTGGCTATGGGCTCTGGTCTAAAGTAGTGCACTACATAGGGAATAGGGTGACATGTGGCTATGGGCCCTGGTCTAAAGTAGTGCACTAGATAGGGAATAGGGTGCCATTTGGCTATGGGCCTGGTCTAAAGTAGTGCACTAGATAGGGAATAGGGTGCCATTTGGCTATGGGCTCTGGTCTAAAGTAGTGCACTAGATAGGGAATAGGGTGCCATTTGGCTATGGGCCCTGGTCTAAAGTAGTGCACTAGATAGGGAATAGGGTGCCATTTGGCTATGGGCCCTGGTCTAAAGTAGTGCACTAGATAGGGAATAGGGTGCCATTTGGCTATGGGCCCTGGTCTAAAGTAGTGCACTAGATAGGGAATAGGGTGCCATTTGGCTATGGGCCCTGGTCTAAAGTAGTGCACTAGATAGGGAATAGGGTGCCATTTGGCTATGGGCCCTGGTCTAAAGTAGTGCACTATATAGGGAATAGGGTGCCATTTGGGACACAGTGCTGTAAAACGTGACTAAATAACACTACAACTGCTTTTACGTCCTTTCACATTTTCTGGTACATTTGCATGTTTGTTATACAGATGACAACATTTCTATAATCTCTTCATCAAATTTAATAAGACCTCTATCTATTTCTGAAGTGGGAGACTTGGAGCAGACAGAGGAGAAGGCTGCAACAGGAAAATCAGGAAAATCAGGAGAACATTTTTCAGAATGTTGATACAAATCTGTTCACATTCTGATGAAGTTAATTATTTATGCATAGTCACTTTAACTCTACCCACATGTACATATTACCTCAACTACCTCAACTAGCCGGTGCCCCCGCACATTGACTCTGTACCGGTACCCCCTGTATATATAGCCTCCCTACTGTTATTTTATTTTACTTCTGCTCTTTTTTTCTCAACACTTTTTTGTTGTTGTTTTATTTTTACTTTTTTTGGTTAAGAAATAAATGCACTGTTGGTTAAGGGCTGTAAGTAAGCATTTCACTGTAATGTCTACACCTGTTGTATTCGGGACACAGTTATGTCCACCACCGGGACACGGTCATGTCCACCACCGGGACACGGTCATGTCCACCACCGGGACACCGGTCATGTCCACCACCGGGACACGGTCATGTCCACCAGCGGGACACGGTCATGGTCCACCAGCGGGGACACGGTCTGTCCACCACCGGGACACGGTCATGTCCACCACCGGGACACGGTCATGTCCACCACCGGGACACGGTCATGTCCACCACCGGGACACGGTCATGTCCACCACCGGGACACGGTCATGTCCACCACCGGGACACGGTCATGTCCACCAGCGGGACACGGTCATGTCCACCACCGGGACACGGTCATGTCCACCACCGGGACACGGTCATGTCCACCACCGGGACACGGTCATGTCCACCACCGGGACACGGTCATGTCCACCAGCGGGGACACGTCATGTCCACCACCGGGACACGGTCATGTCCACCACCGGGACACGGTCATGTCCACCACCGGGACACGGTCATGTCCACCACCGGGTCACGGTCATGTCCACCACCGGGACACGGTTATGTCCACCACCGGGACACGGTCATGTCCACCACCGGGACACGGTCATGTCCACCACCGGGACACGGTCATGTCCACCACCGGGACACGGTCACCTTCATGGAGGAATGTTACGTGAAGATAAACAAGGCAGAACATTCGGTTGTGGCCCAATGTGCACTACATAGGAAATAGGTTGCCATTTGGGACAAAGTAAAATCATACAGAACTCATCAAATATCAAGCAGCAATTTGGTTTTAAAGAAATTCTGATGAAATCAATGTCCCATACACAAAAATACTTAAATCATGGACTTAACATCAAACTCATATTGACGAAAGCTGCTTTAAAGACATGATGCAGGCTGCGAGGAAGAGGTATGTTATCCTGGTGAAGACGAGGGAGGACTAGTCTGGGGTTAGGTCAGGTTAAAGCCTGGTGTCAGTCTCAGGTGTAGTTTGGTCGGGTCTCTCTGTGTAGAACAGAATGTAAGCCTTGGCTTTAACCACCGTCTCCTCCTCCGTTAGTGTCACTGTGCTGTCGTTGAAGTGGTACCAGCGATCGTCCCGTCTGCCGTACGCTGTGTAATGTCCCGATCCAACCCTGCCAACACAATTAAACCATATTTGAATAAGGCACTAAATGGAAGAAAGCAGAGTGAAACGGGGACAGACCTACTAGTCAGAGTGAAACTCAGTGTCTCCTGAGTGGCGCAGTGGTCTAAGGCACTGCATTGCAGTGCTAGCTGTGCCACTAGAGATCCTGGTTCGAATCCAGGCTCTGTCGCAGCCGGCCGCGACCGGGAGACTCATGGGCGGCGCACAATTGGCCCAGCGTCGTCCAGGGTAGGGGAGGGAATGGCCGGCAGGGATGTAGCCCAGTTGATAGAGCATGGCGTTTGCAATGCCAGGGTTGTGGGTTCGATTCCCACGGGGGGCCAGTATAAAAAAAAATATATATATATATAATAATATGTATTCACTAACTGTATGTCGCTCTGGATAAGAGCGTCTGCTAAATGACTAAAATGTAGTCCGAGTGAAACGGGGACAGACCTACTAGTCAGAGTGAAACGGGGACAGACCTACTAGTCAGAGTGAAACGGGGACAGACCTACTAGTCCGAGTGAAACGGGGACAGACCTACTAGTCCGAGTGAAACGGGGACAGACCTACTAGTCAGAGTGAAACGGGGACAGACCTACTAGTCCGAGTGAAACGGGGACAGACCTACTAGTCCGAGTGAAACGGGGACAGACCTACTAGTCAGAGTGAAACGGGGACAGACCTACTAGTCCGAGTGAAACGGGGACAGACCTACTAGTCAGAGTGAAACGGGGACAGACCTACTATCAGAGTGAAACGGGGACAGACCTACTAGTCCGAGTGAAACGGGACAGACCGACTAGTCCGAGTGAAAAGGGGACAGACCTACTAGTCAGAGTGAAACGGGGACAGACCTACTAGGCAGAGTGAAACGGGGACAGACCTACTAGTCCGAGTGAAAAGGGGACAGACCTACTAGTCCGAGTGAAACGGGGACAGACCTACTAGTCCGAGTGAAAAGGGGACAGACCTACTAGTCAGAGTGAAACGGGGACAGACCTACTAGTCCGAGTGAAAAGGGGACAGACCTACTAGTCAGAGTGAAACGGGGACAGACCTACTAGGCAGAGTGAAACGGGGACAGACCTACTAGTCATGGAGGGGGGGGTTGGTCACTAAAGTTACATATCGGGATATTATTTTTTACAATATATCATATCGACAATATTGCAATATTATTTTGGCGCTAGTTGGCTGTACCTGCAACAAAACTGCAGTATTTGTCCTTTAAAGTTTGTTCTCCATCTTCTTTTTAAATAGGAAGCAAATGTGTTTACAGCACTTTTATTTCCATGACTGATCAAAACTCATTTTCCGATGGCGCTCTCGTCCCTCTGCAGCAGACATATGGTGAGCAATAAAAACATCGAAACACAATAAAATCACAGTATCAAATCACAATGCATATAAAATCGTGAGAATCGCAATACTTATCGGCATCTTAGTATCGTGATATCATCGTATCGTGAGATCCCTGGCAATTCCCAGCCCTACGGACTACCTGGACTTAAATTGACTTTTTATTTTACCTTTATTTTACTAGGAAAGTCTGTTAAGAACAAATTATTATTTACAATGACGGCCTACACCGGCCAAACCCGGACGACGCTGGGCCAATTGTGCGCCGCCCTATGGGACTCCCAATCACGGCCGGTTGTGATACAGCCTGGAATCGAACCAGGGGGTCTGTAGTGACGCCTCAAGCACTGAGATGCAGTGCCTTAGACCGCTGCGCCACTCGGGAGACTTAAGTAAAGCTATGCTAATTTTCTGTTTCAAAACGTTTTGCCCTAATGAACATGACCCTGCTGGCTGCCTTCATGTAATGATCAGCTATTTAACCCTGTAACATTAACTGGGACACATTCAGTTGGCTCATCAGGCAGGCACAACAATGCAATACCACCACCTAGTGGCCAACTGGGTTAACTGAGTGGTGTACTTGAAAAACATTTTAGTCATTTAGCAGACGCTCTTATCCAGAGCGACTTACAGTTAGTGAGTGCATAAATTTTGGCCCCCCGTGGGAATTGAACCCACAACCCTGGCGTTGCAAGCGCCATGCTCTACCAACTGAGGTACACGCGACATTGGCTGCATTTACACAGGCAGCCCAATTCTGATCCTTTTTTCACTAATTGGTCTTTTGACCAATTAGATAAGCACTGAAAATGAGCTGATGTGATTGGTCAAAATACTAATAAGTGGTCAAAAGATCAGAATTGGGCTGCCTGTGTGAACAGCCCTACAGTGACCCTACAATGACCTCCGGTTGCGAGAGTGTATCACTACTCACCCTGATCCATGATGCACCACCACAGCTGCCAGGTCATACAGCCAGCGGTCAGGCAACGTCTTCTCCTGCTGCTCAAACACAACAAAACAGAATATTTCTCTAGACATTCATCTAAAGCCTTGAGCCTTTGAAATAAGGCTTTTGAGGCTCGTTTCCCAGACAAATTAAAATCACTTTCAATAGATTCCTAGGGTTTGGAATCTCACCCTCACATGTCCAGTCCTCTGAGATGGTACGTAGGGTCAGGGGTCATCTCTAGTAAGTAACCCTCACATGTCCAGTCCTCTGAGATGGTACGTAGGGTCAGGGGTCATCTCTAGTACGTAACCCTCATGTCCAGTCCTCTGAGATGGTACGTAGGGTCAGGGGTCATCTCTAGTAAGTAACCCTCACATGTCCAGTCCTCTGAGATGGTACGTAGGGTCAGGGGTCATCTCTAGTACGTAACCCTCATGTCCAGTCCTCTGAGATGGTACGTAGGGTCAGGGGTCATCTCTAGTAAGTAACCCTCATGTCCAGTCCTCTGAGATGGTACGTAGGGTCAGGGGTCATCTCTAGTAAGTAACCCTCATGTCCAGTCCTCTGAGATGGTACGTAGGGTCAGGGGTCATCTCTAGTACGTAACCCTCATGTCCAGTCCTCTGAGATGGTACGTAGGGTCAGGGGTCATCTCTAGTACGTAACCCTCATGTCCAGTCCTCTGAGATGGTACGTAGGGTCAGGGGTCATCTCTAGTAAGTAACCCTCATGTCCAGTCCTCTGAGATGGTACGTAGGGTCAGGGGTCATCTCTAGTACGTAACCCTCATGTCCAGTCCTCTGAGATGGTACGTAGGGTCAGGGGTCATCTCTAGTACGTAACCCTCATGTCCAGTCCTCTGAGATGGTACGTAGGGTCAGGGGTCATCTCTAGTACGTAACCCTCATGTCCAGTCCTCTGAGATGGTACGTAGGGTCAGGGGTCATCTCTAGTACGTAACCCTCATGTCCAGTCCTCTGAGATGGTACGTAGGGTCAGGGGTCATCTCTAGTACGTAACCCTCATGTCCAGTCCTCTGAGATGGTACGTAGGGTCAGGGGTCATCTCTAGTAAGTAACCCTCATGTCCAGTCCTCTGAGATGGTACGTAGGGTCAGGGGTCATCTCTAGTAAGTAACCCTCATGTCCAGTCCTCTGAGATGGTACGTAGGGTCAGGGGTCATCTCTAGTACGTAACCCTCATGTCCAGTCCTCTGAGATGGTACGTAGGGTCAGGGGTCATCTCTAGTAAGTAACCCTCATGTCCAGTCCTCTGAGATGGTACGTAGGGTCAGGGGTCATCTCTAGTACGTAAACCCTCATGTCCAGTCCTCTGAGATGGTACGTAGGGTCAGGGGTCATCTCTAGTACGTAACCCTCATGTCCAGTCCTCTGAGATGGTACGTAGGGTCAGGGGTCATCTCTAGTACGTAACCCTCATGTCCAGTCCTCTGAGATGGTACGTAGGGTCAGGGGTCATCTCTAGTACGTAACCCTCATGTCCAGTCCTCTGAGATGGTACGTAGGGTCAGGGGTCATCTCTAGTACGTAACCCTCACATGTCCAGTCCTCTGAGATGGTACGTAGGGTCAGGGGTCATCTCTAGTAAGTAACCCTCACATGTCCAGTCCTCTGAGATGGTACGTAGGGTCAGGGGTCATCTCTAGTACGTAACCCTCATGTCCAGTCCTCTGAGATGGTACGTAGGGTCAGGGGTCATCTCTAGTACGTAACCCTCATGTCCAGTCCTCTGAGATGGTACGTAGGGTCAGGGGTCATCTCTAGTACGTAACCCTCATGTCCAGTCCTCTGAGATGGTACGTAGGGTCAGGGGTCATCTCTAGTAAGTAACCCTCATGTCCAGTCCTCTGAGATGGTACGTAGGGTCAGGGGTCATCTCTAGTAAGTAACCCTCATGTCCAGTCCTCTGAGATGGTACGTAGGGTCAGGGGTCATCTCTAGTACGTAACCCTCATGTCCAGTCCTCTGAGATGGTACGTAGGGTCAGGGGTCATCTCTAGTACGTAACCCTCATGTCCAGTCCTCTGAGATGGTACGTAGGGTCAGGGGTCATCTCTAGTACGTAACCCTCATGTCCAGTCCTCTGAGATGGTACGTAGGGTCAGGGGTCATCTCTAGTACGTAACCCTCCACGGAGAGGGAACAACTCTACCTAGGGTCAGGGGATTAGGGTTGAAGGCTTTGTCAGCAGCATAGCACCCAGCATCACTGCTGGCTTGCCTCTGAAGTTAAGTAGGGTCAGTCCTGGTCGGTCCCTGGATGGGAGAGCAGATGCTGCTCTAAGTAGGGTCAGTCCTGGTCGGTCCCTGGATGGGAGAGCAGATGCTGAGTGGCGCAGTGGTCTAAGGCACTGCATCGCAGTGCTAACTGTGCCACTAGAGATCCTGGTTCGAATCCAGGCTCTGTCGCAGCCGGCCGCGACCGGGAGACTCATGGGCGGCGCACAATTGGCCCAGCGTCGTCCAGGGTAGGGGAGGGAATGGCCGGCAGGGATGTAGCTCAGTTGATAGAGCATGGCGTTTGCAACGCCAAGGTTGTGGGTTCGATTCCCACGGGGGGCCAGTATAAAAATAAAAAAAAAAAAAAAATATGTATTCACTAACTGTAAGTCGCTCTGGATAAGAGCGTCTGCTAAATGACTAAAATGTAAAATGTAAAATGTAATGCTGCTGGAGGGCCAGTCCTGGTCGGTCCCTGGATGGGAGAGCAGATGCTGCTCTAAGTAGGGTCAGTCCTGGTCGGTCCCTGGATGGGAGAGCAGATGCTGCTGGAGGGCCAGTCCTGGTCGGTCCCTGGATGGGAGAGCAGATGCTGCTCTAAGTAGGGTCAGTCCTGGTCGGTCCCTGGATGGGAGAGCAGATGCTGCTCTAAGTAGGGTCAGTCCTGGTCGGTCCCTGGATGGGAGAGCAGATGCTGCTGGAGGGTCAGTCCTGGTCGGTCCCTGGATGGGAGAGCAGATGCTGCTCTAAGTAGGGTCAGTCCTGGTCGGTCCCTGGATGGGAGAGCAGATGCTGCTGGAGGGTCAGTCCTGGTCGGTCCCTGGATGGGAGAGCAGATGCTGCTCTAAGTAGGGTCAGTCCTGGTCGGTCCCTGGATGGGAGAGCAGATGCTGCTCTAAGTAGGGTCAGTCCTGGTCGGTCCCTGGATGGGAGAGCAGATGCTGCTGGAGGGCCAGTCCTGGTCGGTCCCTGGATGGGAGAGCAGATGCTGCTGGAGGGCCAGTCCTGGTCGGTCCCTGGATGGGAGAGCAGATGCTGCTGGAGGGTCAGTCCTGGTCGGTCCCTGGATGGGAGAGCAGATGCTGCTGGAGGGCCAGTCCTGGTCGGTCCCTGGATGGGAGAGCAGATGCTGCTGGAGGGTCAGTCCTGGTCGGTCCCTGGATGGGAGAGCAGATGCTGCTGGAGGGTCAGTCCTGGTCGGTCCCTGGATGGGAGAGCAGATGCTGCTGGAGGGTCAGTCCTGGTCGGTCCCTGGATGGGAGAGCAGATGCTGCTGGAGGGTCAGTCCTGGTCGGTCCCTGGATGGGAGAGCAGATGCTGCTGGAGGGCCAGTCCTGGTCGGTCCCTGGATGGGAGAGCAGATGCTGCTGGAGGGTCAGTCCTGGTCGGTCCCTGGATGGGAGAGCAGATGCTGCTGGAGGGTCAGTCCTGGTCGGTCCCTGGATGGGAGAGCAGATGCTGCTGGAGGGCCAGTCCTGGTCGGTCCCTGGATGGGAGAGCAGATGCTGCTGGAGGGTCAGTCCTGGTCGGTCCCTGGATGGGAGAGCAGATGCTGCTGGAGGGCCAGTCCTGGTCGGTCCCCTGGATGGGAGAGCAGATGCTGCTGGAGGGTCAGTCCTGGTCGGTCCCTGGATGGGAGAGCAGATTGCTGCTGGAGGGCCAGTCCTGGTCGGTCCCTGGATGGGAGAGCAGATGCTGCTGGAGGGCCAGTCCTGGTCGGTCCCTGGATGGGAGAGCAGATGCTGCTGGAGGGCCAGTCCTGGTCGGTCCCTGGATGGGAGAGCAGATGCTGCTGGAGGGCCAGTCCTGGTCGGTCCCTGGATGGGAGAGCAGATGCTGCTGGAGGGCCAGTAGGAGGCACCCTCTCCTCTGCTGTAATTATATATATATATTTTTATATCCCAATTCCCCAGGGCAGTGATCGGGGACATTGCCCTGTGTAGGTTGCCGTCTTTCGGATGGGACGTTAAACAGGTGTCCTGACTCTCTGTGGTCACTAAAGATCCCATGACACTTATTGTAAGAGTAGGGGTGTTAACCCCGGTCTCCTGGCTAAATTCCATATTCACAAAAAGCTTATTTCTCAATTGTGTGCACAAATGTGTTTAAATCCCTGTTAGTGAGCATTTCTCCTTTGCCAAGATAATCCATCCACCTGACAGGTGTGGCATATCAAGAAGCTGATTAAACAGCATGATCATTACACAGGTGCACCTTGTGTTGAGGACAATAAAAGGCCACTCTAAAATGTGCAGTTTTGTCCCACAACACAAGGCCACAGATGTCTCAAGTTTTGAGGGAGTGTGCAATTGGCATGCTGACTGCAGGAATGTCCACAAGAGCTGTTGCCAGAGAACTGAATGTTCATTTCTCTACCATAAGCCGGCTCCAACATCGTTTTAAACAATTTTGCAGAAAGTCAACTCCATGTGAAGGAGATGTGTCGAGTTTTCTAATCCACGGCCCGACTAAAAAAATTAAAAAGGTATCTGTGACCAACAGATGCATATCTGTATTCCCAGTCATGTGAAATCCATAGATTAGGGCCTAATGAATTTATTTCAATTGACTGAGTTCCTTCTATGAACTGTAACTCAGTACAATCGTAGAAATGGTTGCGTTTTGCGTTTATATTTTTGTTCAGTTGAAGTAACATAATAACTACATCCGTCAGTTTAAGCTACAGATATGTTTTTTTGCATCTGCGGAAGGTGTTCGCGTTTTTTTCAAGTGTCACGGAATTTGTCTGAAGGTAACCGGTACCGGTTTAAAAAAATTATGGAAGTATGAAGGTAGTTTGTGGCAACAAAAATAAGGGGTTAAATAGCTTTTCTTGTATCTCAACTATAGATACAGACAAAACCTTAGACACAGTAATACATTATTTTGATACATAAAGGGGTCCTAAAATTCTAAATCAAACTGCTCCTTGGTATGACCATTTAAAATAAATTCCATATGTTAGCTTAGGTTGAAGGGTCACCTGTAGTAAGTATCCCCTCATGTCCAGGCCCCGTAGAGGGAACTCTACATAGGTGGTTACTTTGTTCCTGAGGTTGGACGTCCAGTGGAACCTCTTCAGGTGCAGACACAACACCTTGGGCAGCTTCCGGACCCAGAACTTCTTGGTGGATTTCTGTCTCTTCTTACACCTGGGGCACATATAGAGCTCGCTCTGGTCCAACTCCTCCAGGTCAGTGAAGCTACACAGGCAGTCTGATGAAGAGAGATGGAAACCAAACCTAAACTCAACCAGAAAGGATTCAAACCCCTTGACTTTCTCCACATTTTGTTACAGCCTGAATGTAAATGGATAAAGATGAGACTGTTTCACTGGCATAACATTTAGAAATGTTTACAAATTAATTAAAAATGAAAAGCTGAAATGTCTTGAGTCAATAAGTATTCAACCCCTTTGTTATGACAAGCCTAAATAAGTTCAGGAGTATAAATGTGCTTAACAAGTCACATAATAAGTTGCATGGACTCACTCGGTGTGCAATAATAGTGTTTAACATGATTTCTGAATGACTACCTCATCTCTGTTCCCCACAGATACAATTATCAGTAAGGTCCCTCAGACGAGCAGTCAATTTCAAAACAGATTCAACCACAAAGGGCACCTATTGGTAGATGGGTAAAAACAAAAAAAAGCAGACAATGAACTACACTTTGAATGGTGTATCAATACACCCAGTCACTACAAAGATACAGGTATCCTTCCTAACTCAGTTGCCAGAGAGGAAGGAAACCACTCAGGGATTTCACCATGAGGCCGATGGTGACTTTAAAACAGTTACAGAGTTTAATGGCTGTGACAGGAGAAAACTGAGGATGGATCAACAACATTGTAGTTACTCCACAATACTAACCCAATTGACAGAGTGAAAAGAAGGGAGCCTTACAGAATAAAAAATATTCCAAAACATGCATCCTGTTTGCAACAAGGCACTTAAGTAATACTGCAAAAAATGTGGCAAAGAAATTCACTTTATGTACTGAATAAAAAGAGTTATGTTTAGGGCAAATCCAACAACATCACTGAGTACCACTCTTCAGATTTTCAAGCATGGTGGTGGCTGCATCATGTTATGGGTATGCTTGTCATCGGCAAGAACTAGGAAGTTTTCTAGGATAAAAATAAATGGAATAGAACTAAGCAAAGGCAAAGTCCTAGAGGAAAACCTGGTTCAGTCTGCTTTCCAAAAGACACCGGGAGGCAAATTCACCTTTCAGCAGGACAAGAACCTAAAACACAAGTCCAAATATACACTGGAGTTGCTTACCAAGACTACATTAAATGTTCCCGAGTGGCGTAGTTGCAGTTTAGACTTAAAATCGGCTTGAAAATCTACAGCAAGACTTGAAAATGGCTGTCTAGCAATGATCAACAACCAACTTGACAGAGCTTGAAGAATTAATTAAAGAATAATGTGCAAATATTGTACAATCCAGGTGTGCAAAGCTTTTACCCAGAAAGACTCACAGCTGTAATCGCTGCCAAAGGTGATTCTAACACGTATTGACTAAGGAGTGTGAATACTTATGTAAATGAGTTATTTATGCATTTGATTTTTTTTAAACATGTTTTAAAAACTATCTTTTCACTGTCGTTACTGTGTGTAGATGGGTGAGACGTTACTCCATTTTGAATTCAGGCTGTAACGTACTCCATTTTATAACACAACAAAAGGTGAACAAGTCAAGGGATCTGAATACTTTCTGAAGACACTGTAGCTGTTACATACAAACCCTTTACTAAGAGATATACAAAACCAGTCAAAAGTATGGACACACCTACCCATTCAAGGGTTTTTAATTATTTTTTACTATTTTCTACATTGTAGAATAAATGTGAAGGCATCAAAACTATGAAATAACACATATGGAATCATGTATTAACCAATAAAGTGTTACATCTAAATATATTTTATATTTGAGGTTCTTCAAAATAGCCACCCTTGATGACAGCTTTGCACACTCTTGGCATTCTCTCAACCAGCTTCACCTGGAATGCTTTTCCAACAGTCTTGAACTCACCTAGTAAGGTACAGGTAGGGAGCTCCAACTCTACAGTAGAACTCACCTAGTAAGGTGCAGGTAGGGAGCTCCAACTCTACAGTAGAACTCACCTAGTAAGGTACAGGTAGGGAGCTCCAACTCTACAGTAGAACTCACCTAGTAAGGTGCAGGTAGGGAGCTCCAACTCTACAGTAAACTCAACCCCAGTAAAGGGGCAGGTAGGGAGCTCCAACACTACAGTAGAACTCAAACCCAGTAAGGTACAGGAGGGAGCTCCAACTCACATAGAACTCCCTAGTAAGGTGCAGGTAGGGAGCTCCAACACTACAGTAGAACTCACCTAGTAAGGTGCAGGTAGGGAGCTCCAACACTACAGTAGAACTCACCTAGTAAGGTGCAGGTAGGGAGCTCCAACTCTACAGTAGAACTCACCTAGTAAGGTACAGGTAGGGAGCTCCAACTCTTCAGTAGAACTCACCTAGTAAGGTACAGGTAGGGAGCTCCAACCCCTACATTGAACTCACCTAGTAAGGTCAGGTAGGGAGCTCCAACTCTACAGTAGAACTCACCTAGTAAGGTGCAGGTAGGGAGCTCCAACTCTACAGTAGAACTCACCTAGTAAGGTGCAGGTAGGGAGCTCCAACTCTATTAGAACTCACCTAGTAAGGTACAGGTAGGGAGCTCCAACTCACAGTAGAACTCACCTAGTAAGGTGCAGGTAGGGAGCTCCCAAATCTACAGTAGAACTCACCTGTAAGGTGCAGGTAGGGAGCTCCAACACTACAGTAGAACTTCCCCCTAGTAAGGTTGCAGGTAGGGAGCTCCAACTCTACAGTAGAACTCACCCTTATAGGTGCAGGTATGAGGGCTCCAACTCTACAGTAGAACTCACCTAGTAAGGTACAGGTAGGGAGCTCCACTCTACAGTAGAACTCACCTAGTAAGGTACAGGTTTGGGAGCCCCCAACTCTACAGTAGAACTCACCTAGTAAGGTAACAGGTAGGGAGCTCCAACTCTACAGTAGTACTCACCTAGTAAGGTGCAGGTAGGGGCTCCAACTCTACCCGTAAAAACTCACCTATAAGGTACAGGTAGGGAGTCCAAATCTACAGTAAAAAACTCACCTGTAAGGTACAGGTAGGGAGCTCCAACTCTACAGTAGAACTCACCTAGTAAGGTACAGGGGGGCCCCCAACCCCTACAGTAGAAATCACCTAGTAAGGTACAGGTAGGGAGCTCCAACTCTAAGTAGAACTCACCTAGTAAGGTGCAGGGAGGGAGCTCCAACACTACAGTAGAACTCACCTAGTAAGGTGCAGGTAGGGACTCCCCCCTACAGTAGAACTCACCTAGTAAGGTGCAGGTAGGGGGCTCCAACTCTACAGTAGAACTCACCTAGTTAAGGTGCGGTAGGGAGCTTCCAACTCTATTAGAACTCACCTAGTAAAAGGGACGGTAGGGAGCTCCAACTCACAGTAGAACTCACCTAGTAAGGTGCAGGTAGGGAGCTCCAACTCTATTAGAACTCACCTAGTAAGGTACAGGTAGGGAGCTCCAACTCTACAGTAGAACTCACCTAGTAAGGTAGGGAGCTCCAACTCTACAGTAGAACTCACCTAGTAAGGTAGGGAGCTCCAACTCTACAGTAGAACTCACCTAGTAAGGTGCAGGTAGGGAGCTCCAACTCTATTAGAACTCACCTAGTAGGTACAGGTTAGGGAGCTCCAAATCACAGTAGAACTCACCTAGTAAGGTGCAGGTAGGGAGCTCCACTCTATTAGAACTCACCCCAGTAGGTACAGGTAGGGAGCTCCAACTCTACAGTAGAACTCACCTAGTAAGGTGCGGTAGGGAGCTCCAAAACTACAGTGAACTCACCTAGTAAGGTAAGGTAGGGAGCCCCCAACTCTACAGTAAACTCACTAGTAAGGTGCAGGTAGGGAGCTCCAACACTACAGTAGAACTCACCTAGTAGGTACAGGTAGGAGCTCCAACTCTACAGTAGAACTCACCTAGTAAGGTACAGGTAGGGAGCTCCAACACTACCCGTAGAACTCAAACCCAGTAAGGTGCAGGTAGGGAGCTCCAACTCCACAGTAGAACTCACCTAGTAAGGTTTCAGGTAGGGAGCTCCAACCCCTACAGTAGAACTCACCTAGTAAGGTACAGGTAGGGAGCTCCAAAACTACAGTAGAACTCACCTAGTAAGGTGCAGGTAGGGCCAGGCTCTTGGTCCTTGGTTCTCTTCTGTCTGAACTGACTGGGAATATCCAAGGACAGATCTGAAGGGCAGGGGACATTTGTGGGGAAAAAATACATTTAGAATTTTCTGTTTACTTCCTGATTTGACTGAATTGAAATGGAATTGACCGAGGCCATGGGTGAACTGACAGTGGACGTGACTTACCAAGGAAAGGGTCAAACTTTATAGACTCAGTTCCACAGATCAGGCAGTTGACTTCATTCTGCAGAACACCACCAAATATAGACGTGACCACAGTAGAACTGCCTTTCCTGAAAAGACACCAACATAGTACACTTCAGATCTGGAGGGCAGGGGACATAGTACACTTCAGATCTGGAGGGCAGGGGACATAGTACACTTCAGATCTGGAGGGCAGGGGACATAGTACACTTCAGATCTGGAGGGCAGGGGACATAGTACACTTCAGATCTGGAGGGCAGGGACATAGTAAAACTTCAGATCTGGAGGGCAGGGGACATAGTACACTTCAATCTGGAGGCAGGGGACATAGTACACTTCAATTGGAGGCAGGGGACATAGTACACTTCAGATCTGGAGGGCAGGGGACATAGTACACTTCAGATCTGGAGGGCAGGGGACATAGTACACTTCAGATCTGGAGGGCAGGGGACATAGTACACTTCAGATCTGGAGGGCAGGGGACATAGTACACTTCAGATCTGGAGGGCAAGGGGACCCTAGTACACTTCAGATCTGGAGGGGGAGGGGACATAGTACACTCAGATCTGGAGGGCCCGGGGACATAGTACACTTCAATCTGGAGGGCAGGGGGACATAGTACACTTCAATCTGGAGGGCAGGGGACATAGTACAACCCTTTAGATCTGGGGGGCAGGGGACATAGTACACTTCAGATCTGGAGGGCAGGGACATAGTACACTTCAGATCTGGAGGGCGAGGGGACATAGTACACTTCAGATCTGGAGGCAGGGACATAGTACCTTCAGATCTTGGAAAGGGGGACATATTCACTTCAGATCTGGAGGCAGGACATAGACACTTCAGATTCTGGGGGGCAGGGGACATACTACAGTTCAATCTGAGGGCAGGGACATAGTACACTTCAATCTGGAGGGCAGGGGACATAGTACACTTCAGAGTACCCCTCAGCAAACAGTCCTCACAAGTTGGTACAGCAGTTTAGTAGTAGTTGTAGTAAAGTAAATAATAGTAGTATAGTAGTAGTAGTATAGTAGTAGTAAATAGAGTAGTATGTAGTAGTGTAGTATTAGTATAGTACGTAGAAGTATATAATGTAGTATTATAGTTTAGTTAGTAGTAGTATAGATTATTAAGTAGGTAGTATTAAAATTATATATAGTGAGTATTAGTATTGAGTAGTATAGTAGTTGTTAGTATACGTAGTCAGTATGTAAGTACAATTTGTGTATTAGTATAGTAGGAATAGTATATTTCAGTATTAGTGTAGGGAATAGTAGTAGTAGAATAGTAGTACAATCGTAGTAGGTAGTAGTATATCTTATATACTTTTCTTTTGGGATGTATTACTTAGTATGTAAATAGTAATTAGGTGTTAAATGTAGTGTGTAGTATATAGTTGTACGTATTAATCTAGTAGTAGTTTGGTTGTATAGTTAGTAGTAGTATTCGTTTTTAGTCTAGTCGTCGTTATTTTGTCGTCGTCGTCGTGTCTTAGTTGATAGTTCGTCCTAGTAGTTCGTCGTATGTTTGTCGTTTTCGTCTTCGTTTGTAGTGTAGTGTGTCGTGTAGTCTGTTCCCTTTCTTCTGATGTTTAAACGTCCTTTTTCCCCTCTCTCGCCGGCTTCGGTCATCTCCGCCGCGCCTTTATCATTTACAGCCCAATCAGCAGGTGATCATTCTACAAGCCCAATCACAGTGATCATTCTAACGCCCTCAGTAGCGGATCTTCTCCCCCTCAAACGCGGTATTCTACAAGCCCATCAGCAGCTGTCTTCCCACTCCCTCGTCAGCGGCATCATTTCACGGCCAATCAGCGCCTGATCATTCTAAAACAGCCCTCAGCAGCCTGATCTTCTACCCAGCCCAATCGCGCGATCATTCTCCGCCCAATTTGAGCCTGATCATTCTACACAGCCCAATCAGCAGCATGATCATTCTACCAGCCCAATCAGCAGCCTGATCATTCACAACAGCCCAATCGAAGTCGACCGGATCATTCTAACACAGCCCAAACACAGCCTGATCATTCTACACAGCCCAATCAGCAGCCTGATCATTCTACACAGCCCAATCAGCAGCATGATCATTCTACACAGCCCAATCAGCAGCCTGATCATTCTACACAGCCCAATCAGCAGCATGATCATTCTACACAGCCCAATCAGCAGCCTGATCATTCTACACAGCCCAATCAGCAGCCGGATCATTCTACAACAGCCCAATCAGCAGCCTGATCATTCTACCAGCCCAATCAGCAGCCTGATCATTCTACACAGCCCAATCAGCAACATGATCATTCTACAAACACGCCCAATCACAGCCTGATCATTCTACACAGCCAATCAGCAGCATGAATCATTCTTACACACCCCAAACAGCGGCTGATCATTCTACACAGCCCAATCAGCAGCCGGATCATTCTACACAGCCCAATCAGCAGCCTGATCATTCTACACAGCCCAATCAGCAGCCTGATCATTCCCCCTACACACAGCCCAATCAGCAGCCTGATCATTCTACAAAAGCCCATCAGCAGCCTGATCATTCTAAAACCCGCCCAATCGCAGCTTATCATTCTAAACACCCAATCAGCAGGCTATCATTTACCAACCCCAATAGCACCGTCAACAAAACCCAAATTTAAGCAGTGCCTGTTTCAACAGCTCACAGATGACAATGTATTCTACAAGCCCTGCCCTGTTACCCAAAGCCCAGCACCCTATCACCCAAACAGCGACCAAAACAGCACCACTCTACACAAACAGCCCAACAGAGCAACCATCCACCCCCGAGCAACTCCCAAAAAACCCAATCCACCCAAGACAGCCGTTTTAAAAACACCCAACTCTCACAAAAGGATCCCCCAAAAAAAAGACCAACCCTCCCCGGTAGGGCCTAAAGAGCAGAGCACCAACTCTCACCACAGAGACAAGCTTTCCTAAAGAGCAGAGCAACCAACTCTCACCACAGAGACAAGCCTCCCTAAAGAGCAAGCACCAACTCTCACCACAGAGACAGCTTTCCCCAAAAAGCGACACCAACTCTCCACCACAGAGACAACGTCCTAAAGGCAGAGCACCACTCTCACCAAGAGAAAAACTCCCTAAAGAGCAGAGGCACCAACTCTCACCACAGAGACAAGCGTTCCCAAAGACAAGCACCAACTCTCACCACGAGACAGCGTACCTAAAGAGCAGAGCACCAACTCTCACCACAGAGACAAGCGTAACCTAAAGAGGCAGAGCACCAACCTCCACCACAGAGACAAGGCGTCCCCTAAAGAGCAGGATCACCAACTCTCACCACAGAGAACCAAAGCGTACCCTAAAAGAGACAGAGCACCACAACTCATCACAACCAGAGGGACAAGCATCCCTAAAGAGCATAGCACCACTCCACCACCAGAGACAGCGTCCTAAAGAGCAGAGCACCAACTCTCACCACAGAGACAAATCTTACCTAAAGAGCCAGAGCACCAACTCTCACCACGAGACAGCGGACCTAAAGCAAGCACACCAACCCACCACAAGCCCGTCCCTAAGAGCAGCACCACTCTCACCACCAGAGACAAGCGTAGCCTAAAGAGCAGAGCACCAACTCTCACCACAGAGACAAGCGTACCTAAAGAGCAGAGCACCAACTCTCACCACAGAGACAAGCGTCCCTAAAGAGCAGAGCACCAACTCTCACCACAGAGACAAGCGTACCTAAAGAGCAGAGCACCAACTCTCACCACAGAGACAAGCCTCCCTAAAGAGCGGAGCACCAACTCTCACCACAGAGACAAGCGTACCTAAAGAGCAGAGCACCAACTCTCACCACAGAGACAAGCATCCCTAAAGAGCAGAGCACCAACTCTCCACCAGAGACAAGCGTACCTAAAAGAGCGACACCAACTCCCCACCAGAGACAAGCGTACCTAAGAGCAGAGCACCAACTCTCACCAGAACAGCGTACCTAAAGAGCAGAGCACCAAATCTCACCAGAGACAACGGTACCTAAAGAGCGAGCACCACTCTCACCACAGAGACAAGCGTACCTAAAGAGGGAAGCACCAACTCTCACCACAGAGACAAGCTCCCCAAAGAGCGAGCACCAACTCCCACAGAGACAAGCTACCTAAAGAGCGGGGCAAACCCAAATCTCACCACAGAGACAAGCGTACCTAAAGAGCAGAGCACCAACTCTCACCACAGAGACAAGCGTACCTAAAGAGCAGAGCCACCAACTCTCACCCAGAGACAAGCGTCCCTAAAGAGCAGAGCACCAACTCTCACCAAGAGACAAGCGTACCTAAAGAGCAGAGCACCAACTCTCACCACAGAACCCCAAGCGTCCTAAAGAGCAGAGCACCAACTCTCACCACAGAGACAAGCGTACCTAAAGAGCAGAGCACCAACTCTCACCACAGAGACAAGCGTACCTAAAGAGCAGAGCACCAACTCTCACCACAGAGACAAGCGTACCTAAAGAGCAGAGCACCAACTCTCACCACAGAGACAAGCGTCCCTAAAGAGCAGAGCACCAACTCTCACCACAGAGACAAGCGTACCTAAAGAGCAGAGCACCAACTCTCACCACAGAGAAAAAGGGCCCCAAAAACCCAGACCAATTCTCCAAGGAAAGGGACCAAAATCAAACACCACTTTACACAGGGAACCAAACGGTAAATAAAGGAGGGCAAAACCAAAAAACTTCTTTTTTAAAAACAGAAGAAATCCCTAAAAAAAAGAGGACATTCAGAGTCAGAAGCCTGATGTAGTCATTGCGTCCTAGGAATATGGGACCAAATACTAAACTTTTGACTACTTTAATACACTAAGTGAATTTGTCCAAATACTTAGAGACACGTTTAAATCGGGGGGACTAAAAACAAAGTAACTTCATTTCTAAACGGTAAAACAGATATGAAAATACCCTAAAAATAAAAGGTGACATTCTGTACTGTCACCTCGTAAAATGTTTGAGTATGGCCTTGTCTGTCCCCTAAGCCACCTGCTGTGTTAAATATACTTCAGGGTGCAGCTTCTCAACTGTTGTATTCTACCTGAAATCCAGACGCAATGGCCGGCCAATGGCCCCTGTACATGGAAACACCAGACAGACACTACTTTCTAATCAGAGTAGAAAGGAAGTGATCTTACATGCAGCATTTGCCCCCTGTGGTGGGTAGTTTCACCCCGTCCAGGGGAGGACCCACGGGGGGCAAAAGGGTTGGCCTGGGTTAAACTTTGGGCAAACATTCCGGGTTTTGGAAAGGGGTCTGTAACGGTTACTTCGGGGATTGGCCAACAGGTACCGGGGAGGAACCAGAGTACTGCGGGTTAGCACCCGGGAGGACACAACAGGGTTACACAACAGGGTTACTGTAACAGGGTTAGGACACAACAGGGTTACTGCAACAGGGTTAGGACACAACAGGGTTACTGTAACAGGGTTAGGACACAACAGGGTTACACAACGGGGTTACTGTAACAGGGTTAGGACACAACAGGGTTTTCCAACAGGGTTAGCACACAGGGGTTTCTGTAACAGGTTGGTTACTTGTAACGGGTTAGACACAACAGGGTTACACAACAGGGTTAGGACACAACAGGGTTACTGTAACGGGGGTTTGGACACAACAGGTTACACAACAGGGTTAGGACACACAACAGGTTACCAACAGGTTAGGACACAACAGGTTAACACAACGGGTTTTGGACACAACAGGGTTACTGTAACGGGGTTAGGACACAACAGGGTTACACAACAGGGTTAGGACACAACAGGGTTACTGTAACGGGGTTAGGACACAACAGGGTTACACAACAGGGTTAGGACACAACAGGGTTACTGTAACAGGGTTAGGACACAACAGGGTTACTGGGTAACAGGATTAAGACATCAATGTAACGGTCAGACATGACACAGGGTCAGCACATCAACATGGTGTTATGTGTGTCAGACATTTCAGAGGCCACTGAGTTACATGTCTAGCATCAGCGGTGTTCGAGACCACCTAAAGCAAGACCGATTCAAGACCAAGACAAGTTTCAGACCAATTTACTCATTTAAAAAGTGTTAGCCGACATGGCTAATGGACTGACTGGCAGTGACTGACAAGAGAAAAACTGCTGATGCACAACCATGAAATGGTTACCCCACGTTATGAAATGGTTACCCCACGTTATGAAATGGTTACCCCACGTTATGAAATGGTTACCCCACGTTATGAAATGGTTACCCCACGTTATGAAATGGTTACCCCGCGTTATGAAATGGTTACCCCAGGTTATGAAATGGTTACCCCGCGTTATGAAAGGGTTACCCCGCGTTATGAAAGGGTTACCCTGCGTTATGAAAGGGTTACCCCGCGTTATGAAAGGGTTACCCCGCGTTATGAAAGGGTTACCCCGCGTTATGAAAGGGTTACCCCGCGTTATGAAAGGGTTACCCCGCGTTATGAAAGGGTTACCCCGCGTTATGAAAGGGTTACCCCACGTTATGAAAGGGTTACCCCGCGTTATGAAAGGGTTACCCCACGTTATGAAATGGTTACCCCACGATATGAAATGGTTACCCCACGATATGAAATGGTTACCCCACGTATGAAATGGTTCCCCCACGTTATGAAATGGTTACCCCCACGTTATGAAATGGTTACCCCACGTTATGAAAGGGTTACCCCACGTTATGAAAAGGGTTACCCCACGTTATGAAATGGTTACCCCACGTTATGAAATGGTTACCCCACGATATGAAATGGTTACCCCACGATATGAATGGTTACCCCACGTTATGAAATGGTTACCCCACGTTATGAAATGGTTACCCCACTTAAGTACCCGTTATGAAATGGTTACCCCACGTTATGAAAGGGTTACCCCACGTTATGAAATGGTTACCCTACGTTATGAAATGGTTACCCCACGTTATGAAATGGTTACCCCACGTTATGAAATGGTTACCCCACGTTATGAAATGGTTACCCCACGTTATGAAATGGTTACCCCACGTTATGAAATGGTTACCCCACGTTATGAAATGGTTACCCCACGTTATGAAATGGTTACCCCACATTATGAAATGATTACCCCACGTTATGAAATGGTTACCCCACGTTATGAAATGGTTACCCCACGTTATGAAATGGTTACCCCACGTTATGAAATAGTTACCCCACGTTATGAAATGGTTACCCCACGTTATGAAATGGTTACCCCACGTTATGAAATGGTTACCCCACGTTATGAAATAGTTACCCCACGTTATGAAATGGTTACCCCACGTTATGAAATGGTTACCCCACGTTATGAAATGGTTACCCCACGTTATGAAATGGTTATCCCACATTATGAAATGGTTACCTATAACTGGTTACTATTCTACATTAAAATGAGTGGTCCTCTGTAGTTCAGTTAGTAGAACATGGTCCTCTGTAGTTCAGTTAGTAGAACATGGTCCTCTGTAGTTCAGTTAGTAGAACATGGTCCTCTGTAGTTCAGTTAGTAGAACATGGTCCTCTGTAGTTCAGTTAGTAGAACATGGTCCTCTGTAGCTCAGTTAGTAGAGCATGGTCCTCTGTAGTTCAGTTAGTAGAACATGGTCCTCTGTAGTTCAGTTAGTAGAGCATGGTCCTCTGTAGTTCAGTTAGTAGAACATGGTCCTCTCTAGTTCAGTTAGTAGAGCATGGTCCTCTGTAGTTCAGTTAGTAGAGCATGGTCCTCTGTAGTCAAGTTAGTAGAGCATGGTCCTCTGTAGTTCAGTTAGTAGAGCATGGTCCTCTGTAGTTCAGTTAGTAGAGCATGGTCCTCTGTAGTTCAGTTAGTAGAGCATGGTCCTCTGTAGTTCAGTTAGTAGAACATGGTCCTCTGTAGTTCAGTTAGTAGAACATGGTCCTCTGTAGATCAGTTAGTAGAACATGGTCCTCTGCAGTTCAGTTAGTAGAACATGGTCCTCTGTAGTTCAGTTAGTAGAACATGGTCCTCTCTAGTTCAGTTAGTAGAACATGGTCCTCTGTAGTTCAGTTAGTAGAACATGGTCCTCTGTAGTTCAGTTAGTAGAGCATGGTCCTCTGTAGTTCAGTTAGTAGAACATGGTCCTCTGTAGTTCAGTTAGTAGAGCATGGTCCTCTGAAGTAAAGTTAGTAGAGCATGGTCCTCTGTAGTTCAGTTAGTAGAACATGGTCCTCTGTAGTTCAGTTAGTAGAGCATGGTCCTCTGAAGTAAAGTTAGTAGAGCATGGTCCTCTGTAGTTCAGTTAGTAGAACATGGTCCTCTGTAGTTCGGTTAGTAGAACATGGTGCTCTGTAGTTCAGTTAGTAGAGCATGGTCCTCTGTAGTTCAGTTAGTAGAGCATGGTCCTCTGTAGTTCAGTTAGTAGAGCATGGTCCTCTGTAGTTCAGTTAGTAGAGCATGGTCCTCTGTAGTTCAGTTAGTAGAGCATGGTCCTCTGTAGTTCAGTTAGTAGAGCATGGTCCTCTGTAGTTCAGTTAGTAGAGCATGGTTCTCTGTAGTTAGTAGAGCATGGTCCTCTGTAGTTAGTAGAGCATGGTCCTCTGTAGTTCAGTTAGTAAAACATGGTCCTCTGTAGTTCAGTTAGTAAAACATGGTCCTCTGTAGTTCAGTTAGTAGAGCATGGTCCTCTGTAGTTAGTAGAGCATGGTCCTCTGTAGTTCAGTTAGTAGAACATGGTCCTCTGTAGTTCAGTTAGTAGAGCATGGTCCTCTGTAGTTCAGTTAGTAGAACATGGTCCTCTGTAGTTCAGTTAGTAGAACATGGTCCTCTGTAGATCAGTTAGTAGAACATGGTCCTCTGTAGTTCAGTTAGTAGAACATGGTCCTCTGTAGTTCAGTTAGTAGAACATGGTCCTCTCTAGTTCAGTTAGTAGAACATGGTCCTCTGTAGTTCAGTTAGTAGAACATGGTCCTCTGTAGTTCAGTTAGTAGAACATGGTCCTCTGTAGTTCAGTTAGTAGAACATGGTCCTCTGTAGTTCAGTTAGTAGAGCATGGTCCTCTGTAGTTCAGTTAGTAGAACATGGTCCTCTGTAGTTCAGTTAGTAGAGCATGGTCCTCTGAAGTTAGTAGAGCATGGTCCTCTGTAGTTCAGTTAGTAGAGCATGGTCCTCTGTAGTTCAGTTAGTAGAGCATAGTCCTCTGTAGTTCAGTTAGTAGAGCATGGTCCTCTGTAGTTAGTAGAGCATGGTCCTCTGTAGTTAGTAGAGCATGGTCCTCTGTAGTTCAGTTAGTAAAACATGGTCCTCTGTAGTTCAGTTAGTAGAACATGGTCCTCTGTAGTTCAGTTAGTAGAGCATGGTCCTCTGTAGTTAGTAGAGCATGGTCCTCTGTAGTTCAGTTAGTAGAACATGGTCCTCTGTAGTTAGTAGAACATGGTCCTCTGTAGTTCAGTTAGTAGAGCACGGTCCTCTGTAGTTCAGTTAATAGAGCATGGTCCTATGTAGTTCAGTTAGTAGAGCACGGTCCTCTGTAGTTCAGTTAATAGAGCATGGTCCTATGTAGTTCAGTTAGTAGAGCATGGTCCTCTGTAGTTCAGTTAGTAGAACATGGTCCTCTGTAGTTCAGTTAGTAGAACATGGTCCTCTGTAGTTCAGTTAGTAGAACATGGTCCTCTGTAGTTCAGTTAGTAGAACATGGTCCTCTGTAGTTCAGTTAGTAGAGCATGATCCTCTGTAGTTCAGTTAGTAGAGCATGGTCCTCTGTAGTTCAGTTAGTAGAACATGGTCCTCTGTAGTTCAGTTAGTAGAGCATGGTCCTCTGAAGTAAAGTTAGTAGAACATGGTCCTCTGTAGTTCAGTTAGTAGAACATGGTCCTCTGTAGTTCGGTTAGTAGAACATGGTGCTCTGTAGTTCAGTTAGTAGAGCATGGTCCTCTGTAGTTCAGTTAGTAGAGCATGGTCCTCTGTAGTTCAGTTAGTAGAGCATGGTCCTCTGTAGTTCAGTTAGTAGAGCATGGTCCTCTGTAGTTCAGTTAGTAGAACATGGTCCTCTGTAGTTCAGTTAGTAGAACATGGTCCTCTGTAGTTCAGTTAGTAGAACATGGTCCTCTGTAGTTCAGTTAGTAGAGCATGGTCCTCTGTAGTTCAGTTTGTAGAGCATGGTCCTCTGTAGTTCAGTTAGTAGAGCATGGTCCTCTGTAGTTCAGTTGGTAGAGCATGGTCCTCTGTAGTTCAGTTAGTAGAACATTGTCCTCTGTAGTTCAGTTAGTAGAGCATGGTCCTCTGTAGTTCAGTTAGTAGAACATGGTCCTCTGTAGTTCAGTTAGTAGAACATGGTCCTCTGTAGTTCAGTTAGTAGAGCATGGTCCTCTGTAGTTCAGTTAGTAGAACATGGTCCTCTGTAGTTCAGTTAGTAGAGCATGGTCCTCTGTAGTTCAGTTAGTAGAACATGGTGCTCTGTACTTCAGTTAGTAGAGCATGGTCCTCTGTAGTTCAGTTAGTAGAGCATGGTCCTCTGTAGTTCAGTTAGTAGAGCATGGTCCTCTGTAGTTCAGTTAGTAGAGCATGGTCCTCTGTAGTTCAGTTAGTAGAGCATGGTCCTCTGTAGTTCAGTTGGTAGAACATGGTCCTCTGTAGTTCAGTTAGTAGAACATGGTCCTCTGTAGTTCAGTTAGTAGAGCATGGTCCTCTGTAGTTCAGTTAGTAGAGCATGGTCCTCTGTAGTTAGTAGAGCATGGTCCTCTGTAGTTCAGTTAGTAGAACATGGTCCTCTGTAGTTCAGTTAGTAGAGCATGGTCCTCTGTAGTTCAGTTGGTAGAACATGGTCCCTCTGTAGTTCAGTTAGTAGAGCATGGTCCTCTGTAGTTCAGTTAGTAGAGCATGGTCCTCTGTAGTTAGTAGAGCATGGTCCTCTGTAGTTCAGTTAGTAGAACATGGTCCTCTGTAGTTCAGTTAGTAGAGCATGGTCCTCTGTAGTTCAGTTAGTAGAGCATGGTCCTCTGTAGTTTCAGTTGGTAGAACATGGTCCTCTGTAGTTCAGTTAGTAGAACATGGTCCTCTGTAGTTCAGTTAGTAGAACATGGTCCTCTGTAGTTCAGTTAGTAGAGCATGGTCCTCTGTAGTTAGTAGAGCATGGTCCTCTGTAGTTCAGTTAGTAGAGCATGGTCCTCTGTAGTTCAGTTGGTAGAGCATGGTCCTCTGTAGTTCAGTTAGTAGAACATTGTCCTCTGTAGTTCAGTTAGTAGAGCATGGTCCTCTGTAGTTCAGTTAGTAGAACATGGTCCTCTGTAGTTCAGTTAGTAGAACATGGTCCTCTGTAGTTCAGTTAGTAGAACATGGTCCTCTGTAGTTCAGTTAGTAGAGCATGGTCCTCTGTAGTTCAGTTAGTAGAACATGGTCCTCTGTAGTTCAGTTAGTAGAGCATGGTCCTCTGTAGTTCAGTTAGTAGAGCATGGTCCTCTGTAGTTCAGTTGGTAGAACATGGTCCTCTGTAGTTCAGTTAGTAGAGCATGGTCCTCTGTAGTTCAGTTAGTAGAACATGGTCCTCTGTAGTTCAGTTAGTAGAACATGATCCTCTGTAGTTCAGTTAGTAGAACATGGTCCTCTGTAGTTCAGTTAGTAGAACATGGTCCTCTGTAGTTCCCGAATGCACTGTATTTTGACTGAGCTCCTAATGATGTGTTTAACACGTCTGTGACCCATACGTTAAGGCTGCTTCAGACATTCAGAACGGTGATAAAACGCATGCTGAGGGCAGATACAGCCAGTGCAAATGACACTAACAGATCTATAGTAGATAAAGACTCAACAGAGGTAATAAGACACTCTTCCCTACCAGCCAATTCACAAAGTTCTGACGAGTGCGACAAAGTCTGAGGATATTTTTCAACCAAAGTAAAGGACAGTAATGCTACAAGTAGGACGCTCAGGTTTTCAATAGACGATAAGATGTATCATGAAAGGAGTATTTGGCTGACTATTGCGCTGACTGAATAGGAGCTGAAAGAGGTTTTTACTCCACTGGTCTCGGGAAGAAATGACGAGTCCTCAATGTCCGAGAATAAAAATGTATCCGACATCGAGACGTGACACTCAATTTTCGGTCTCAAGTACTACAACACTGCCACAAAGAGTCTCCGAGTAAGTGTCGATTTAGGATCAGGACCCAACCTGTCCATTTAAAATCATATCATATGATCTGAAAGGCCAAACTGATCGTAGATCAGTTCTCCTACTCCGAGATGCGTTATGGATACGGGCCCAGATCCCAACTTTAAATCAGAGGGGAAAAACCAAATTGAGCAGACATGTCTGTCAAAGTACCTGAAGCTGGGCATGATTTTCCAGATAACGTAGAATAAAGAGTCTGGGCTGAAGGCTGTTGGGCCACCATGCCACAGATAACACAGGGTCTTCCTCAACTCCTCCACCAAGGACCTGGGAAACAGAGACAAACATAGGACTACTGTCAATACCAGGCACCTTCAACAGCACAACTCCTCCACCAAGGACCTGGGAAACAGAGACAAACATAGGACTACTGTCAATACCAGGCACCTTCAACAGCACAACACCTCCACCAAGGACCTGGGAAACAGAGACAAACATAGGACTACTGTCAATACCAGGCACCTTCAACAGCACAACACCTCCACCAAGGACCTGGGAAACAGAGACAAACATAGGACTACTGTCAATACCAGGCACCTTCAACAGACAAACATAGGACTACTGTCAATACCAGGCACCTTCAACAGCACAACTCCTCCACCAAGGACCTGGGAAACAGAGACAAACATAGGACTACTGTCAATACCAGGCACCTTCAACAGCACAACTCCTTCACCAAGGACCTGGGAAACAGAGACAAACATAGGACTACTGTCAATACCAGGCACCTTCAACAGACAAACATAGGACTACTGTCAATACCAGGCACCTTCAACAGCACAACTCCTTCAGTTAAAACATCTTCTGAGCTGCTGACTAACTCTAAACCAGAGGGTCTTCAACTGGCGGCTGGCGGGCCAAATCTGGCCGGCAAGCTGATTTTATGTGGCCCGCCAAGGTAGTCTTGGTAATGTATTTTTATTGGATTTGTTGTTGTTTTTGTTTAAAGTAATGCTGTTGTATTAGGGCTGAGCGGTATACCGTATTTTACCATATACTGGTATTGATGCACGGAGCGGTTTGGGTTTTACTTTACCTTCTATAAAAAGGTATTTTGATGTTTGGTTTGTTAAATGGGATACGCTGTATGTAATGTCCTCATCTCTCTCCATGCTGCTTTCTACTCAGCTCAGACTCTTTAGGTCTTTGTTATCTGGAAAATGTAGACCTAAATCAGCATGTTGTTTGTGCAACAGTATCCTCTAAATCAAAGAGAAATACGCCAAGCAAGAATATGTTAGCTACATTAAAAAGCTAAGAGAAAACATTCAATGTAGCCAAAGGTTATAGGGTCCCCTAAGAAACGCTTATCAACACTTTGGTTCCTACCGTGTCACAATAAATCCTCCCTTGCATTTTCATTCGTTGTCATGTCAAACACTGTATTCAAAATGGCCACTATTATATTCTAACTATAGAAGCAGAACAATTATATTATAAGCAGAACAATCATTCTATTTCCATGATTCTAACAGTTCACCCAAGAGTTTTGCTCTAAATCACAATTGCAACATTTGGTTAAAATAGGCCTGTAAATTACTGTGAAATATTTATTTCTTATACCGTGATATGATATTTGGTCATACCGCCTAGCCATATGGTGTATTTGTGACTCTCACATGCGGGTACATTTTGGCATTGGCGGGTAAGATGTCCATTTCAGGGGACAACAGTGGGAGCGTTTCATACAATAATGAAGTAAGATCACATTTATAGCTAAATAAATGCTGCAGTAGCGGTTTTCAAAGTATTTCTGCCATTTTGTTTCATAGCTGGTAAATGAATCGCACAAATAACTATATCCCACCTGGCGCTGCATCACTGTCTGGCTGGGGGCTGCGCACACGGAGTTAAGCGCTGAGTGAGAGATTCATTTTTAGAAGCGCTGCGCACACCGAGTTAAGCGCTGAGTGAGAGATTCATTTTCAGGCATAAAAATTGGTCTAATTTAATCTAAACGAAAGTCTACTAAAAGTGAGACTTTGTCCTCATGTTTCTTGGCTATTTAGATTTTGTTCACAAGCTAGGTTGCTTTTCAACGTCTGAATATCAACTGCTAGGGAAGAGAACAGCTGCTGGTCGGACTCAATCACACAGGCACATGACTCTAGTGGCCCTGTTACCACGGTAACTTCCAGCCCTTAAAGGGGCAGCTGAACATTTGTCTCATCTGTGATGTTTTGGTTAAAAGAAATTGAGCAATATTACTTTTTAATAGTAATACATTTATTGTTTTAGAAACAAAGCATGCTCAACTGTTATGTTTTTTTTGTGTAAATGTTTTGTTTTGGCTTGTAACATTTTGGCTGGTGGACCAAAAAGTTAGCTTCAGGCCCTGCAAACACACGTAAGACCTTACACACTGGTGTCTCCCTGGCTGCGGGTGTGGTACATCCTCCGCCCTGCAGTCTTCCCGCTCCGCAGCGCCACCGCTGGCAGCTCCTTGAAATAACAGCTGAACTGCTGGATGTTGCTGGAATAGAAACAGCTTCTTATCACCTTAACAGTTTAACACAGCTTCTTACATTTACATTTACATGTACATTTTAGTCATTTAGCAGACGCTCTTATCCAGAGCGACTTACAGTTAGTGAATACATATACAGTGGGGGAAAAAAGAATTTAGTCAGCCACCAATTGTGCAAGTTCTCCCACTTAAAAAGATGAGAGAGGCCTGTAATTTTCATCATAGGTACACATCAACTATGACAGACAAATTGAGGTTTTTTTTCCCAGAAAATCACATTGTAGGATTTTTTATGAATTTATTTGCAAACTATGGTGGAAAATAAGTATTTGGTATCATTGTCATGCTGAAAGACCCAGCCACGTTTCATCTTCAATGCCCTTGCTGATGGAAGGAGGTTTTCACTCAAAATATCACGATACATGGCCCCATTCATTCTTTCCTTTACACGGATCAGTCGTCCTGGTCCCTTTGCAGAAAAACAGCCCCAAAGCATGATGTTTCCACCCCCATGCTTCACAGTAGGTATGGTGTTCTTTGGATGCAACTCAGCATTCTTTGTCCTCCAAACACGACAAGTTGAGTTTTTACCAAAAAGTTATATTTTGGTTTCATCTGACCATATGACATTCTCCCAATCCTCTTCTGGATCATCCAAATGCACTCTAGCAAAACTTCAGACGGGCCTGGACATGTACTGGCTTAAGCAGGGGGACACGTCTGGCACTGCAGGATTTGAGTCCCTGGCGGCGTAGTGTGTTACTGATGGTAGGCTTTGTTACTTTGGTCCCAGCTCTCTGCAGGTCATTCACTAGGTCCCCCCGTGTGGTTCTGGGATTTTTGCTCACCGTTCTTGTGATCATTTTGACCCCACGGGGTGAGATCTTGCGTGGAGCCCCAGATCGAGGGAGATTATCAGTGGTCTTGTATGTCTTCCATTCCTAATAATTGCTCCCACAGTTGATTTCTTCAAACCAAGCTGCTTACCTATTGCAGATTCAGTCTTCCCAGCCTGGTGCAGGTCTACAATTTTGTTTCTGGTGTCCTTTGACAGCTCTTTGGTCTTGGCCATAGTGGAGTTTGGAGTGTGACTGTTTGAGGTTGTGGACAGGTGTCTTTTATACTGATAACAAGTTCAAACAGGTGCCATTAATACAGGTAACGAGTGGAGGACAGAGGAGCCTCTTAAAGAAGAAGTTACAGGTCTGTGAGAGCCAGAAATCTTGCTTGTTTGTAGGTGACCAAATACTTATTTTCCACCATAATTTGCAAATAAATTCATAAAAAATCCTACAATGTGATTTTCTGGATTTTTTTTTCTCAATTTGTCTGTCCTAGTTGATGTGTACCTATGATGAAAAGTACAGGCCTCTCTCATCTTTTTAAGTGGGAGAACTTGCACAATTGGTGGCTGACTAAATACTTTTTTCCCCCACTGTATATATACAGTGGGGAGAACAAGTATTTGATGCACTGCCGATTTTGCAGGTTTTCCTACTTACAAAGCATGTAGAGGTCTGTAATTTTTATCATAGGTACACTTCAACTGTGAGAGACGGAATCTAAAACAACAATCCAGAAAATCACATTGTATGATTTTTAAGTAATTAATTTGCATTTTATTGCATGACATAATTATTTGATACATCAGAAAAGCAGAACTTAATATTTGGTACAGAAACCTTTTTTTGCAATTACAGAGATCATACGTTTCCTGTAGGTCTTGACCAGGTTTGCACACACTGCAGCAGGGATTTTGGCCCACTCCTCCATACAGACCTTCTCCAGATCCTTCAGGTTTCGGGGCTGTCGCTGGGCAATACAGACTTTCAGCTCCCTCCAAAGATTTTCTATTGGGTTCAGGTCTGGAGACTGGCTAGGCCACTCCAGGACCTTGAGATGCATCTTACGGAGCCACTCCTTAGTTGCCCTGGCTGTGTGTTTCGGGTCGTTGTCATGCTGGAAGACCCAGCCACGACCCATCTTCAATGCTCTTACTGAGGGAAGGAGGTTGTTGGCCAAGATCTCGCGATACATGGCCCCATCCATCCTCCCCTCAATACGGTGCAGTCGTCCTGTCCCCTTTGCAGAAAAGCATCCCCAAAGAATGATGTTTCCACCTCCATGCTTCACGGTTGGGATGGTGTTCTTGGGGTTGTACTTATCCTTCTTCTTCCTCCAAACACGGCGAGTGGAGTTTAGACCAAAAAGCTCTATTTTTGTCTCATCAGACCACATTACCTTCTCCCATTCCTCCTCTTGATCATCCAGATGGTCATTGGCAAAGTTCAGACGGGCCTGGACATGCGCTGGCTTGAGCAGGGGGACCTTGCGTGCGCTGCAGGATTTAATCCATGACGGCGTAGTGTGTTTACTAATGGTTTTCTTTGAGACTGTGGTCCCAGTTCTCTTCAGGTCATTGACCAGGTCCTGCCGTGTAGTTCTGGGCTGATCCCTCACCTTCCTCATGATCATTGATGCCCCACGAGGTGAGATCTTGCATGGAGCCCCAGACCGAGGGTGATTGACCGTCATCTTGAACTTCTTCCATTTTTTAATAATTGCGCCTGGTCATGACTACAGCCCACTGAGCCAGACAGTAGGCCATGACTACAGCCCACTGAGCCAGACAGTAGGCCATGACTACAGCCCACTGAGCCAGACAGTAGGTCCATGACTACAGCCCACTGAGCCAGACAGTAGGCCATGACTACAGCCCACTGAGCCAGACAGTAGGCCATGACTACAGCCCACTGAGCCAGACAGTAGGCCATGACTACAGCCCACTGAGCCAGACAGTAGGCCATGACTACAGCCCACTGAGCCAGACAGTAGGCCATGACTACAGCCCACTGAGCCAGACAGTAGGCCATGACTACAGCCCACTGAGCCAGACAGTAGGCCATGACTACAGCCCACTGAGCCAGACAGTAGGCCATGACTACAGCCCACTGAGCCAGACAGTAGGCCATGACTACAGCCCACTGAGCAGACAGTAGGCCATGACTACAGCCCACTGAGCCAGACAGTAGGCCATGACTACAGCCCACTGAGCCAGACAGTAGGTCCATGACTACAGACCACTGAGCCAGACGTAGGTCATGATAGACACTGAGCCAGGGGTCCTACAGCCCACTGAGCCAGACAGTAGGCCATGACTACAGACCACTGAGCCAGACAGTAGGTCATGACTACAGACCACTGAGCCAGAGACTGGCCATGACTACAGACCACTGAGCCAGAGACTGGTCATGACTACAGCCCACTGAGCCAGACAGTAGGTCATGACTACAGACCACTGAGCCAGACAGTAGGTCATGACTACAGACCACTGAGCCAGACAGTAGGCCATGACTACAGCCCACTGAGCCAGACAGTAGGTCATGACTACAGACCACTGAGCCAGACAGTAGGTCATGACTACAGACCACTGAGCCAGACAGTAGGTCATGACTACAGACCACTGAGCCAGAGACTGGTCATGACTACAGCCCACTGAGCCAGACAGTAGGCCATGACTACAGACCACTGAGCCAGAGACTGGTCATGACTACAGACCACTGAGCCAGAGACTGGTCATGACTACAGACCACTGAGCCAGACAGTAGGCCATGACTACAGCCCACTGAGCCAGACAGTAGGTCATGACTACAGCCCACTGAGCCAGAGACTGGTCATGACTACAGACCACTGAGCCAGACAGTAGGTCATGACTACAGACCACTGAGCCAGAGACTGGTCATGACTACAGACCACTGAGCCAGACAGTAGATCATGACTACAGACCACTGAGCCAGAGACTGGTCATGACTACAGACCACTGAGCCAGACAGTAGGTCATGACTACAGACCACTGAGCCAGACAGTAGGTCATGACTACAGCCCACTGAGCCAGACAGTAGGTCATGACTACAGACCACTGAGCCAGACAGTAGGTCATGACTACAGACCACTGAGCCAGACAGTAGGCCATGACTACAGCCCACTGAGCCAGACAGTAGGCCATGACTACAGCCCACTGAGCCAGACAGTAGGTCATGACTACAGACCACTGAGCCAGACAGTAGGTCATGACTACAGACCACTGAGCCAGACAGTAGGTCATGACTACAGCCCACTGAGCCAGACAGTAGGTCATGACTACAGCCCACTGAGCCAGACAGTTGGCCATGACTACAGACCACTGAGCCAGACAGTTGGCCATGACTACAGACCACTGAGCCAGACAGTAGGCCATGATTACAGCCCACTGAGCCAGAGACTGGCCATGACTACAGCCCACTGAGCCAGAGACTGGTCATGACTACAGCCCACTGAGCCAGAGACTGGTCATGACTACAGCCCACTGAGCCAGACAGTAGGCCATGATTACAGCCCACTGAGCCAGACAGTTGGCCATGACTACAGACCACTGAGCCAGACAGTAGGCCATGATTACAGCCCACTGAGCCAGAGACTGGTCATGACTACACACCACTGAGCCAGACAGTAGGTCATGACTACAGACCACTGAGCCAGAGACTGGTCATGACTACAGCCCACTGAGCCAGACAGTAGGTCATGACTACAGACCACTGAGCCAGACAGTAGGCCATGACTACAGCCCACTGAGCCAGACAGTAGGCCATGACTACAGCCCACTGAGCCAGACAGTAGGCCATGAACTACAGCCCACTGAGCCAGACAGTAGGTCATGACTACAGCCCACGAGCCAGACAGTAGGCCATGACTACAGCCCACTGAGCCAGACAGATAGCCATGACTACAGCCCACATGTAGGCCCATGACTACAGCCCACTGAGCAGACAGTAGGCCATGACTACAGCCCACTGAGCCAGACAGTAGGCCATGACTACAGCCACCACTGAGCCAAGACCAGGTAGGTCCATGACTACAAGCCCAACTGAGCCAGACAGTAGGCCATGACTAACAGCCCACTGAGCCAGACAGTAGGCCATGACTACAGACCACATGAGCCAGACAGTAGGCCATGACTACAGACCCACTGAGCCCAGACAGTAGGCCATGACTACAGCCCACGAGCCAGACAGTAGGCCATGACTACAGACCACAGAGCCAGACAGTAGGCCATGACTACAGCCCACTGAGCCAGACAGTAGGCCAGGATACAGCCCACATGAGGCCCAGACAGTAGGTCATGACTAGCGCCCACTGAGCCAGACAGTAGGCCATGACTACAGCCCATGAGCCAGACGTAGGCCCATGACTACAGCCCACTGAGCCAGACAGTAGGTCATGACTACAGCCACTGAGCCAGACAGTAGGCCATGACTACAGCCCATGAGCCCAGACAGTAGGCCATGACTACAGCCCACTGAGCCAGACAGTAGGTCATGACTACAGCCCACTGAGCCAGACAGTAGGTCATGACTACAGCCCACTGAGCCAGACAGTAGGCCATGACTACAGCCCACTGAGCCAGACAGTAGGTCATGACTACAGCCCACTGAGCCACGACAGCAGGCCATGACTACAGCTCCACTGAGCCAGACAGAGGCCATGACTACAGCCCACTGAGCCAGACAGTAGGCCATGACTACAGCCCACTGAGCCAGACAGTAGGCCATGACTACAGCCCACTGAGCCAGACAGTAGGCCATGACTACAGCCCACTGAGCCAGACAGTAGGCCATGACTACAGCCCACTGAGCCAGACAGTAGGCCATCCACACAACACAGGCCATATTGAGGCCAGAGCCAGAGCCTTAAGCCATACAGGTCACCTGAGTTCTCAACAGGGACCATAATGAGCCTTGGCTCACCGGAGGGACTTACCTGAGAGACTGCAGGATGGCGTTCATGAAGCATGTGTTGCCCAGATTCTGTAACCCCGTGGCAGAGAGAGATGAGGCCCCACCCTGAGAGGAAGGAGAGAGAGACCATGTCTCAGCCATTACGAACAATAGCTCTTCCATTAAACACAAAAATATGTTTAACAAAATAAATAAAAATGAAAAAATGTTTTGGGCCTCACTGCTATTAGCCCATACAAACACATTGAATAACAGATTCACTACATGGAACAACAGATAGTCCTTACTGCTATTAGCCCATACAAACACATTGAATAACAGATTCACTACATGGAACAACAGATAGTCCTTACTGCTATTAGCCCATACAAACACATTGAATAACAGATTCACTACATGGAACAACAGATAGTCCTTACTGCTATTAGCCCATACAAACACATTGAATAACAGATTCACTACATGGAACAACAGATAGTCCTTACTGCTATTAGCCCCATACAAACACATTGAATAACAGATTCACTACATGGAACAACAGATAGTCCT